ATAGCCAAACCACAAAAAAGAGGTACTTGGTCTCTTAATATACAATTGTGCAGGGGGGAAGTGGAAAAGGCCAGGATCGGCCCACCAAAATAGCAGCCCCCTGTGTCAGCGTGGAGTCATAGGCAGTCCTAAAGGCAGGAGATGACTTTTAGCTCCCCCAGCCACCTGGGCATCCTAGTGGATTTCTTGGAATTTAAAGGGCTCTCCCATATCTCCGTCCAGGCCCCCTCGTGGCCCATCTTTAGTAAGATGCCATCTCCAGTTGCCCCAGAGACATGGAGGTGTGACCCCGGAGGAGGGCAAACTTGGGTTGCATCCTGGCTCCACCGCTCAGTGGTTGGGTGTTCTCTGTAGTGAGGTAACTGCCTTGACTTTTCCAAGCCTTGGTGTCATCATCAGTAAAATGCATGGAAAGAGCTAAGACAGTGCCTGGCACAGACTGACACTCTGGCTCATACGAGCTCTTAAAGATAGTAGAGGTCAATCGAGATTCTACATTCTCTGCCAAATTGGGACCCTAGCTTCCCCATTAGTACCACTGCTCCCTCCTCTGAGGTCTGAGCAAAGGACAAGGTCACAGGGACCCAGACTGTCCTAGATGGTGAGAAGGAGATCATCAGTGCCCTTGTGTGTACTTTGTTCAGAACTGAGGGCAAAGCTGCCTGTCCTGACCTTTCAGTCAACTCTGGGAGAGGGAAGGTCAGGTTTGAGGCTTGGCCTGCCACAGGCAGCCAGATGGGAGAGAAGGGTCAGAAAGGTTTCTGGGAGAGAAAGAAGGTCATTTGGGAGTGCCCAAGAGGTCTACAGGATCCTCCTCAGCAGTTTGAGACCTGTGGTGTTTTCTGGTAGAAAGCAAACCCCCCTCAAATCGGTTGGCCCACCCCATGACATCAGCAGAATGGAAGCACTTTGCAGGTGACATCACTGTTGCCCAAGGCAACAACACCTCCACCTTAAGGTAGACCAGGAGGAACAAACAACCACCTCAATTGTAAGACAGAGGAGCACAGAAGGCCTAACATCACAGGTGTGTTTCT